TCTGACGGTTCACCCCTCCCAATTTTCCAAGTCTTGACCGGTCCGTGGTAATAAAAAGGTTGGGGACCACTGCTTTAAAGAATGGAAGAATGAATATCATAGCTGGCTTTTGAAAGCTCAACAACATGACGGCCAGTGAAGAGCTACAAAAACCACAAACAGGAAGATAAACTCAAGGACAGACACTTACGTGGAAAGCATATCTAATGGCAGGGTAAGGAGAGAGCTCACGGAGCCGGTAAACAAACACTTGTAGATGCGACCTGGCAGGAAGACACAAAACGTCAGTAAGAACAAACGTGGTAAGAGCCTGTTCTCAGTTCTTCTGTTTATTTGAGTTGCTTTTTGTTTGTTTTTGGGACTTACATGCGGTGAGAGGCACAACGCCTAGCCAGGCAAAGGCCACCAGAGTGTAGTGGAACCAGTATCTGATGGCCGTCCCGATGCTGGTGACCAGCCCTGCAAAGATGTCTTGGATAGGCAGACGGGACGGCATGTCTGGAGAGTAGACTGGAGGAAACACAGAACAGATATCTGGAATGACTCGTTTAAGTTAAATGTCTCCGATGTTGATTAACCTTTTCACATTCTGACATGTTACAACCACAACTTTTCTTTTTGTTGACTGATACAAATTAGCACATAAAAATAAAGTGGAAATTAATGGGGGTTTTTTTTTATATTTTTTTGCAACAAATAAAAATCTAAAAAGTGTGGTGTGCATTTTTATCCACCCACCTTTTGCTGTATTTAGAGTTCCAAGTACAGCTGCAAGTCTTTTAAAAAGTGTATCCATAATAATTTTATTTGCAAAACAACTCGAGCTCAGTCAGGTTAGGAACACGAATTAGGACGGTCTTTTCATTTGGCTTTAGGTCTGGACTTTGACTGGGCCATTTCAAACACAAAAACATAGCTTCAATCTAAACAACTTGAGTGGCAAAGTTAAAAAGGGATTTATAAATGTGTATTTGTCAAAATGTGAAAAAGCTAAAGGGGTGTGAATTCTACTGGCATGGCACAGTTTTTTTTCCTCCTTTCTTTTTACAGAATGACTCACTTGGTGTAAATGCAAACCTGTGTTTGCATAATTCACAGTATTCTTTCCGACTGTGTTTCAGCCACTGCAGTAGGCTGTGAAGACAAAACACAACAGCATGAGTTCAACAGCATCATCTGTGGTATTTATTTCCAAAGTAAAGTTGTGCAGTTAATTCTAATCATAACTTCCTTGTTTAAACATTTGGAGTTTGATGTTTAATATTATGACTTATTAAAGCAACGGCTTGACATCGAGAGCAACAGACAGTAGAGCTGAAAACACCTTCATTAGAGCATATTAATGTTTTCACACTAGTACCATTCCTGGTGGATAAACTTAATGCTGCCAGTGCAAACACAAGGGTGGTAGAGAGGCTTTTCCTGGGTTCCCTCCGAGCGACACACTCGACAAATGTCCGCTGTAAAACACACACATAAAAACGTAAAATTAGGAAGGTTTTGAATGTTTTTGACAAAATTACTCCCGACACACCATTTCTCTCTTACAGATCACCTACAACCAGCAGAAGTTCAATAAATTCATGAGTGACTTTATTGAACTTTTTCTTTCCCATAGTAAACACATAAATGTCTTGAACAAAAGAAAACTATAAATGATTCTGAATTTTAGAGCCAGTATACGTTCCACAGGTCCAGTTCTCTCTGACGTTGAAGTTGTCTGGAGACTATAAAAGTGTTTCAATTTCGTTTTTTTCCCCCTCCATGTGCATTCAATCAGTAAGTCAAAAGAACAAAAATACTAACATATAAAAGTCTGAAATTCAGGACTGACTTCGCAAATGGAAGACACAGTATGCCACTTTTTGCACATTTGTACAGTGTTATTATTACCAGTCAAGTTGTTACTATTATCATTGCTATTATTTATTAGACTTGTGTCCTTTGGAGAATCAAATATTTTCTTGTTCACATCTTGAAAATGATAACAACTCGCATACTTTTCCAAGACTGCTTAGAAACCCTGTATTACCTGAAAACGCAAATCTTGAAGCCTAACAAATGTAAATATAATAGTCAGGTGAACAGGACAGGGCAACAGCGCCAAACTATAATCCTCGGATTACCCTTTGTAATTCAGTGACCAAAATAAAATGCCTATAATTAGCCAGTGATGCTGCCGTGTGATGGCATTTAGAATACCCTCGTTTGGTTATTCGCAACCGACTACCAGCGTGAATGTCAATTTATTACAAGCCAGGCATAAGGGAAGCGAGTTGGGCGTTTAGAAAGATTATATAATTATGTAGTATGTAATGTAGCATCTATGGAACACCCAAGTAGACTGATTAGAAATCAACATAAATCTGGAAATGTAGCATTTTCAACTGTTACAAGTGCAAAAACTATAAAACAGTGCTGCCTAATCAATGGTATGCGTAGCTAGCTTGTTACTGTACGCAACCGTCTGATAACGGTGCAACTTAATCAACGTTAGCTTGAAAAACCATAGAGAAACTTTGCACGGGGTTATACCAGAGTTGATTTGTATGTCGTAACTATTTGAGGGGTTTCAAGTGGAACCTTTCGGTATTTCATATCATGTTTCTAAATGCCAAACCGCAGCAACCAAACACAGCTGTTGGTATTTACAGCTCTGGGCTAACAGATGGATGCTAATACCCGTTAGCTGCGGAGCTAACACTAATTGGCTAACGGTTTCTTAAATTTCACACAACACTGACCATCTCTACAGAACGCATAAAGCCCTCCTTTGACTCTGTAGTTGGTTCAGACCTGCGCAAACCACGACGCGCGTAGCTTCAACACGAGCGGCATAATAAGTTGCAACACAAAATTAGATCATTTTAAGTTTGAACATTAGCTACCTTCTTCTGCGGTATCCATCTTGGCTGGCTGCTAAGCTCCACACATGCAGCCCGACGGTGGGGTGGAAAAGAGACAGCCGTCAACTATCTCCGAGTAAGCATTTTGGCACCGTGTTTACTTTCAAACGGCCAGAAAAACATGCGTTTAAAAAAAAATCCGTACGCGTTTGTGATAGTTATTCGACTAGCAGTCACTACATACTCAAAGCGACACGTGATAGTACGGCTTATTCACCACTAGATGGCACCAAATATCAATGAGACACTTTTTTACATTACAGCATTTATTTTTATTAAATACACACAAACCCAACAAATTATACAAGCATTAACGAGAGTAGCACTCTCTGTTGCTGTGAGAAATATAGCTCTCTCAACTTACCATCACCATGTTTGATTTAGAGAGTCTCGTTTTGAACACAAGATAAATCATTTCAAAAATACATTATTTATCCCAAAGGGAAATACAAATTACCCATGTAATCTAATTTTCTTCATAGAGCAATTTTGGATAGGGATGCTGTGGGCAGCTAATTTAAAGTATACTTCTGCAAATAACAAAAAAATAAATAAAATCTGGGAGCTTTAGGAAACACTGAATGATTTCATCAGTATGGGTGAGATCATTGTTGTTCTAACAATGTTTGGCCCGGTTTCTGTGCAGATCTGAGTGAAATGTTTTGGCGTCATACACCCACACGGTGTCTATGCCTTCCCCCTCACTGCTTTCAGGGACCCATGTGGGAAAGGGGAAGCGGCAGGCAACCACCTTGGCTGAACTTGGCAGCTCATTTGCCAGCTTGACCTCTAGCTGATCCATCTGCAGTCATGGAAAAAACAAAACAAACACAAAACATATTAGGGATTTTGAATACTAAATACAAGCAACATCTTATTTTATTTGTACCACAATTTCCACCCAGCAAGATTTCATACCAGAGTTACAAACTCACCATTTGAGGAACGCCAAAAATAACCACATTGGAATACTGAGCAAAGCTAGCCTGCCAAAAAGGACAAAAACATTTGGGTTTTAGAGAGTAGAATTAAATAGTTTTACCGTGTATTTGTCACACTAAATGAACACTTGTACGCGATCCGCTAATCAGGAGCCAACCAGACCTTCCACAAATCTGAGATGTGAAAGGAGGTGGAGCGGTGGACGCCTTCTCTCCAGGCCCTGTAGCGAGAATACCAAACCAACCAAGGGTTCAGCTCCAAACCAGAAGCCTGAAATCCACACTTTGCTGCTGCGATCACCTGCAAAAAAAAGAAAAAAGAGAGAGGAGACAGTAAAGTTAGAAGTGAGATAATTTTGTTGTTTTAATAAGTCATTATTAAAGCAACAATAAAGTAGGAAATGGAATAAAGCCATCATGAGACACAAGTGGACTTTTCAGCTGCTGCCGGCTTCCCGCAGGACAGAATGTAGCAATACTGAATATAATTAAGGACAGGCATTCATTTTTTTTTTATTTCCTAAAAGGGGAGAAACCATTTTCTGGCAGGATGAGATTAGAGGGATCTGACTTCATTATGTGAGATGGTCATATTCTGCAGATTCACATACTTTATTCATGAATTAAATAACTGACTGGTGAGGCTTCGAATTCTGAAAACAAATTAAGTAAGCTATCGGTTTCCAACTGTCTGAAATGTTATTCTTTAACAGACTCTGCGAAATCAACAGAAGCTATTGAAGTGAATAAAAAGAAAATACCAGACCAAGTTAAATTGCATGAATTGGCTGTTTAGTCAACAAAACAAGGGGGTAAATTAAAAAAGTACTTTGTCTGATCAAAGTCCTCTGTTCAGTTTTTCATCTCAGGAAAACTTACTAGTTGTACTACAGTAATGGATATTGAAATAAGATCAAATGATCGGAGTAGGACATTATTCAGCATTCTAGGCTGCTATGCTTGTGATATATTTGGTGACACATGTTGCTTAATGCAGGGTAAAAAGGTATTACAAGGTAAGCAGGTGAAAATTACAAGTGAGTTGTTTTAATTCCAAAAACAGCATGCACCATTAAAAAAAAATCAATAAAAATGAGCAGTTGAGACAGAAATATCAGATTTTCGTTAATTTGTTCACTAATTTATCACTGAATTCACCAATATTATTGTATCTGTTCCCTAACCCTAACCTAACCCTAGTTCAAATACATTAAGATTACATGCATTTAATTCAATAACTGAATTCAAAACTACTTTATTAATTACAAGGAGAAATTAAATTAAAAAAATTCAGTTCACAAACACGTTAGACAGCATGTAATCAGGGAAGTTGTAATTTCTCCATTTTCTGCTAGGTTTTTTTTTTTTTTAAATTGTCACTGTCAAAAAACCTGGAAAAGATTTTTGTGGGTTTACAACTTAAGGTTAAAGTTTTTAGAATATCATTTATTAATTTTTTCTACAGGTGGCAAAATGATCAGATTATATGAATATAATTTACAATTAATTTACTCTTAGGATCTAAACATATTTACTTTGAAAAAGAATGGTGATATTCTCTTTCACTGTTTAAAATTGAGAAAATACCAAAATAAACTGACTAAATAAAGTAAATATATGAAAATGATCATTTGAAGCTCTTTTATTTGAAACTATAAATTTTGTCACAACTGTTGTAAATTTGAAAACAGCCGAAAACAGTCTGTTTGATGCGTGCGGTATCCAAATTAAAATCCTGCCCAGGGCCTCAAAAAGCCTGGGAGCGCCACTGTGCATATACGCGCACTTACTATCCTTCCATCTCCGCTTCCGATGTCCACCAGAGTCCCCGTTCTGGGCCGCAGCACCCTGAGGACGTTCTCCACCTGAGCCGTGGTGGCTGGAACAAACGGGAGGCAGACTCTTCTGAGGGCAGGGGCAACAAACGGAGCGGCCACCGCGTAAAGAGCGACCAGCGACCCTCCAACAACACCGGTGACGACCAGCCCGAGTCGACTTCTGCTCCGTCTCCCCTCGCTGACAGCTCCGTTACCCTGTCCAGTGTCCAGAGCCAGCTCATGTTGTGACATGATGCTACCCCCACAAGCTAAAAGTCAGCTATCGTTAGCTAACCTCCATGAACAGAGGGGGTTAGCAGATATTAAAGTGTTAGCAGATATTAAAAAAATCTCACTAAGCAAAAACAAAAACAACAAAAACAGTTATTTATCAACCCTCGGCCACTTTTAATGTCCTACAACCGATAAAAACTGAATTAAAACTAGTTTTTTCTTCGGGATTTGTTTAGGCTCTGACTGCAAGCTGAGTGGTACACGACTGCCACCTACTGGTATGGAATATGTTTTGCAATTGTTAAGCCTTTATTTTGATGTCATTCTACCACGGACATCAATTTTTGTTGGTTAATTTTATGATTCCACTACTATAAAACCCTTCTATAAATTACTTTTCAAAATAACTTTTTCTCTTGAAAACTACAATGAGGTGTTTCTGAAGGATGTTTGTTGCTTTACACATAAAGTCCAGTACAATCTCTTTCTCACATCCAAATGTACGACTATTCACAATCACACTTTTACAATCCTATTAATTCCATTAAAAACGCACAACACACATCTTCATACATATATATATATTTATTTTTGTTAAAATATTTGAAGTGAAATATATCATTTTCCTTCCACTGATTTAGCACTAATTTCCGTTCATCGCATTGAATCCCATTGAAATACATTTATTGTTGTATCAAAATGTGGGAATGTTTAAGTGGTAGAAATTCAAGCACATAAAACATACTTTCACAATTAAAAGGAGCATGAAATTAAAAGAACAATGCCATGCTAGCTGTCAGGGGAAAAAAAAGAAAAAAAAACATTTAATCAAATGAATTAACAGTTGGGTGAAAACAGACACGGTACAGTATCTAGTACTCAATAAAACATTTGTTTTTGCTTTGGTGGCAGAAAAATTTGAATTCATTCATTTCTTCATAAAATAATAAATAGGGCAGTATATACCTATCCATTAGATAAACAGGGCAGAAATAAAGGAACAAAAAAAGGGAATTTGGATCCAGTAGAACTTCTGACCCAACTTTGTTGCACTTTACTTTCTTCCCTTTGTGCCACAAGCAGCATGGTATTTAATACCAAACTTAATTCTTTGGCTTGAGGGAACATGCATTAAAACGATCTCTAAATGCTCTTTCTGTTTGCTGAATGTCAAACATGGACTTTAGGAAGACACACTCAAGAACTCGAGGATTTTCAGAAGTAAAAGGGGCAATAAGTCCCAAACTACTTTCTCCTGCGAACATCTCTCACCGATTTCAATGCCAACCGATTACAGACGGCCCGATTTTCTAACTTCCACCAAATCAGAAGTCATTAGACAGCGTGCGGTCCAGCCCTGAGGTGCTGTGGTGGATGTGGTGGTGGTGGTGCATGCGGTGCTGGCTGGTGGTGGGGCCGACGTCCATCATCAAGTCGTCCTCCTCATCCTCCGCCCTGTACGCCTCCGCCCCGTCCTGCGAGTAGCTGTGCTTCATCACCAGGATGCTCCTCCGACCCGCCGGCATGTTGTGGTGAGAGAGGTGCGGAGACATCTGCTTCGCCAGCCTCGGCGACATCGGGGGTACGGCGGCCCCTCCGTCGGGCGCGATGGTGGCGTCCCTCAGGCTGAGGTTGCTGCGGCTGCCGTGGATGCTGCCGTGGATGCTTCCCTGGTGCGAGCCGCAGTGGTGGTCGCGGATGCACTTGCTCTCCGCGCGCCTGAGCTTGTGGAACTTGTCGAAGTCGTCTGCCAGGGCGGCGTCGGCGAGGTCGCCGGAAGGGGCGCGGCGCAGGGTACAGAGCTCGTAGTGGGGCGGCTCAAAACCCGGGTGGAGCAGGGCCGGGTCAAAGTCGTCTCTTAGGGTGCAAGAGGAAAATAACAACAAAACGTTTAGGATTGGTCCAGTCTGGGTCGGATTTGGAAGAAGGTGGACTCCTGGTGTTCCTTTTACGTATTCGTATTACAGTAGTTTGATAGTCGGATTGCACATTGGTAGGTACGACTTGATAAATAATGCCTGGAAGATGAATCTGTGTTTTTCTTAAAAAAAGAGTTGTACTACAACTAAGTAATTTAAAAATGCTAATATAGTTTGAATAAATAAATTAATCAATATTAAAACGCCCTGTCTGATTTAGGCCTGTGAGCTTTATAGAAACTACAAAGTTGCAGTTGCAAAACAAGTGTTCATAAAAAAAAAAGTGGAAAAAAAATGTTTGGAGCTGAAATTCAGAGTTTTATTTTTTAAAAACCACTGTAATTGAGTAAATGTAATCAGTTACTACCCACCTCTGGCAAGTATTAGTTTGTAACTTCCACATTGCACCAAACTATTAGCGGTAAACGTGTTGGTAACAAACCACACTACACAGGGTTTTCATCCCTCACCTGCGGATGACGTATTTCTTGCGAGGTTGCTTGATTTGAATGATGACGGAAATGATGAGCAGGATGACGACCAGGCCGCACGTGATTCCGATTATTGTGAGGTTGGTGTTGTCCAGCGTGTCCAGGATGCTGGCCTTTCTCTTCTCTGTAGGTGGACAACAACCACGGCTCAGCAGACGGAAACAAAAACAGAAAAAAAAAAAGAAAGATGTTGCAAGTGTAAACCATCAGTGTACCCTTGCAGCGATTCTCGTCCCACGGGTAAACGCAGTTCTGCACGCCGTTGCAGACGAGGGTATTGTTGATGCACATGTTGCTGTGGCAGAAGAAGGTGTCTCCTTCACACGGAGCTAAGACGAAAGACGAGTGACATGCAGAGGTCAAAGTTTAAGATAAACTATTTAAGTAGACTATTTCAGGGATTCACTCTGTTATTTCTCACCATTACAGATCTTTGAAAAAAAACCCAAAAAAAAAACATCACTCCGTACAAACATGTTCATATGAAAGCTAGTGGAGATCGCTTTTTTGAGAACTTTGAACTGATCGTTTATTATTTGTTATTTATACGACAAACTTAGGCGGTGAACTGTGGACACAGATTAATTCATTTTTACTGAGTTTAGAGCAGGTTCTTATGAAAGGATGAACATATGCACTGCAAAACATTTGAGGCACATTGAGTTGTGTCTGCTATCTTCTGCTGTTTTAGTCAAATAAAACTTGTGAGTTTTAGATTTCTGACCTAAATGTGTGAGTTTGCGAAAGATAAACTTACAGTGGTACGTTGTGTTAACTTTTTGTTAATTTTGTCAAACCTCCGAGAGTTGAATAAACAAGGGTTCTTTGGTTAGCACTTAAAAAAAAATTGAAAAAGGAAAAGACAGGAATGGGAACGATTTCCCAGTGTGCTTAGCGGCATGTTTTTTGTATCCTGTGTGAGTGAAATGGAAGTGCGTCACACACTGATCTGTCTTAGTGCACATTTTCATGCAACTGTCAGTTTGCAAAGCTTGAGGATAATGTTTTGTTCACAATAAATATGTTAGAGCAGAATTTGTTGTGATTTTTAATAAAATTCATTATGAGATCAGAAATTTTTGTTCATGCAATGTAAAACAAGAGTTTAAATTATTCTAAAGTAAAATAAGTAATTGTCACTCAATGTTGTGAGTGAAAATAATACAGAAATGTTCTTTAACTAGATGAGGGCAGTTTTTTTCTTGCATATAGTAAAATAACGACATGGTTAAAACTCACAATTCGAGATTAATGAACTTCAAAAAGGAAAAAAAAACAATGTTTAGACAACTTGTCTCTTGTTGTTAAATCAACTTCATGAACTTTAATTTCTGAGTGAAACCCAAACCAATTTTCTTGTCTGTTGCATTTTCAAGTCAGCAGGTGGACATTTATTTTCAGGTTAAGACACCTTCAAGTGTTTTGCAGTGTACAACACTGTCAAAAAAAGTGAAGAAAGACGCCCTCATATAATCAGTGTGATTGGTTGAACGGGACTTTTGGCATCATACTAGCAGAAGACCACAAAAACTGATAGAGTAAATTGCTATAATATTGCCTACATTGATCAACTACTGTAATGTCTTCTTGGAGAAAGAGATTGTCACACCTAACCAAAAAAAAACCATAAAAATTTTTTCAAAAGTTTTTTTTTTTTTTTTTTTTTACGTGATTCAAAAAGAGTGCCATACTGACAGGTGGGAACAAGTCATTGACTTCAAGAAACATACATTGTGTCAAAGAACACATGCCTGTTATCTTTTTATTTATCAAAGAAGCAAATTGAATGGAAAAATGTAGCAGTACCACACGCAAATGCATTTTTTCCTCATGTACGTATTGACTTTCACTCACGTTCGTGGAAAGTGGTAAAGAGGATCTTGAATCTGCTCTTCCTGCTGCCTTCGTCTGCCCAGAGCCTCACCACGCCCACAGAGGTCACCAACATGACGTCGTTGGCCACCGTGGAGCAAAACTTGTTCTTCAGGTGTTCCACTCCGCTGCTCCCGTCGTAGATGGCGACGAAGTTGCGCTTGCACTCGTTTGAGTTGTGCATTTCGTACTCTAAGAAACGCATGTAGATCTGTGGGAGGTGGGGGATCGGGATTGGGCGAAAGGCAAACCAACAAGCTGAAACTCTCCAAAACACACACACACACACACACCCACACACACACGCGCAACAAAAGCCCAACACATAGATTAAGCTCCGAGGATAGGAATCCAACTTGGGGGGGAAACACGCATGCCTCCTTATTGCACGTGTGGTCGATGGGAAACCAGCATATCTATAACTGACAATCCGCCGATATTCTTTTGCTTATGTTTTATTTTTTAAGGCAAAAACTATATTTTTTGGTGGCCCAGCATTCAGCTGAAGGTTAAAAACGCAGCGCTTCTAAGACTGGCATAGAACAATCTTTTGAGCTGAAATTATTGCACGTCAGACATCAGAGTCCACCTACAGTAAAAATGTTGCAAACTTGTTTATGCCCTCGTAAAGACAAATATCATCTATCGGATTCAAAAGACACTTGCTACATTTATTTGTAACCAATATATATTATTACATGGTATAATAACACCCATTTGGTAACACTTTATTTGAGGGGGTGTGCATAAGACTGACGTGACCCTGTCATAAACACGAAGGAGTCTTCATGAATGTTTGCAACTGTTGTCATGAAGTGTCATTCGGTAAATAACAACACTATAAATGCAAAGTTCTATTAAAATTTGCATTAAACGCCCATTAAAAGTGTCAACTTTGCATTAAAAGTGTCATTATTCACCGAATGACACTTCTTGACAACAGTCATAAACATTCATGAAGACTTCTTCACGTTCATGACGGATGTTATGTCAGTCTTATGCACACACCTTCAAATAAAGTGTTACCAAACATCTTTTGTTTCTTTTTACTATTATTATTTTTACAATGAATGAACATGCTCTGTAGCGTGTCTACCTTTGCTCTTGGTGGAGCTCTGATGTACCACCTGCAGTCCACTGCTTCAGTCAGCTGCGCCTTTTCCTCTTTGCCTATCTGTGTGGATTCCACGAAGCCCTCTGGACCGCTCAGCTCAAAATCACAAGCTGTGTGGGGGAAAAAAAAGAAATTTGTAGTACAAAGCCAAAATAAGACCCTTTTGTCCATCTAGCAATAACATCTTTGTTTACTGATCTGAAAGCTCTCAGTATGTTGGGATTTAAGCCTTCATAAACCAACGTAGAGCTATTATAGATCCACTATAGTGTTTTTATGTTGGTGCATGTGGAATAGTCTGCTCCTAACCAGATCGAAATTTTAAAAAAGAAAAGAAAAAACAAGAGGTAAGCAGAGAACCACACAAACACTACATGGCAAATTTATCTGAAGCTTTTAAACAGGGACAAACTACACAGAACTGTGTTGACCCACTTGACAAACAGAAAGAAAAAAGAAAGAAAGAAAATAAAAATTCTCCAATCCCAAAAAAGAATGACCGAAAAAAAGCAAATCAACAAGTTTCAGAATATGTTAGATTATCTTTGTCTTGTTTTAATCCAGTTTGATCTCCTGAGCTCGGAAAACCTCTAACAGATTTTCTCTTCAAGCTAAAAAATACAAAATAAAAATGCATGAAGATTGTCAACATGAGCACTTTATCCCAAGTCCCACTAATCCGTTAAATCATACAAACTGATTGATGCCATGGTCAAATAACACAAAGTTTGCTATGCAGTCAAAATTTAGAGGACAATGATGCTGCGTGTCAAAAGGTGGTTTTGTTCTCAAAGCCACATGCCACTGCTCATCTGACAATGCGCTTGAAAAGTAAGATAAGCGGTTGAATAGCAAATAGCAGTAGCAAAAGAAAAAAAATCTAATCAACCCAGATCTTTATCTCCTATGAAGCTGAGTAATAAAAATACTCCAAAGTCATAAAGTTGGATTTTATTTGTCTCCGCCTGGATGGTAAAATGTGGTCAGTAAAATGAATACTCACCTGGCAGAGCTGGCAATTCTCCAATTTCATCAAACTCGGGATCTGAAATTGAGAGCAAAAACTGTGTGGGGGGGAGGGGAATTCTACACATATGAAGAATTCAGATATTCTTTAAAACCTTACTTGAACGGCTGTTACAGCCTTATATGAGACACAGGATACTTCTGGATTTATTTAAGTCTTTCTATGTTTAATTTAGTTATTGTCCTTTTTATTTTTCATTTCTCTTGTGTGGAGAACATCCGGCTTTTATGCAAGCGATGCACTACCCGTGACAGTGTGGGACCTGGGGGTGCCTGGGAGCCATTTGTGGCTCTTGAAATGGTTTTGTTTGGCCCCTCACCACAAGTCAAGAGTGGTAAAAAAATTTGGTCGACAAAATAGAAAACAACCAAAAAAATAATAATTCAGTTCAGTTTATGCAGCTATGTATAGTTTATATTTCTCTTCAAGATATACGCTGCTCTGTACATTGTAACTACAATAGCAGATTTCATTGTGCACCCAACTTAAAAAATGTATGATCCGTTGTTTAGTGGTGTGTAAAGCAGTAAAATGAGATTGAAACAAAATTACTGACCAAAGATTAAAAAAGAAAAACAACAACAAAAAAAACAGAAGTAAAACCAGTAATACTCCAGGCATATTGAAAGGCATATGAAACACACAGCTGGCCAGAGTTTTAATACTGACGTTGTGGCACAGTTCTGCTGGCCTCGTTTAAACACTCAAAAACCCTGATGCTCTTCCTAAAAAAAAAAAAGAAAAAAAAAAAAAGAAAATCACACAAAGGGAACACATATTGCGTCCTGAACCCTTTGTGCTGTATTAAAAAAATTCAACAGACCAGCTTAGTTGAGGACAGATTAGGCTCCAGTGGTTTCTACCAACCTGGAGATAAAAATCACTGATGACTTCTCTTATGAAATGCTTTATTTAAAAAAAAAAGAAAGAGAAAAAAAACATCTCATGTTGATGGAAGAGACTGTGTGCCGTAACAGACCTGTTAAGAAAAAGGAGAATGATTTTTCACATCTATAATTTTTTTTTGCCACCTAAAAGTTAAAAAAGTAAGAAGGTAACGTGGTGAACTGAGAGGTTTAAAACAACCAAGACTCTCATTAATCCTCTCTGTTTCTTAACCTTTCTGTTCCAGGCCAGGCCAGATTACTCACATTTATTCCTGCAAGCCTATGTGTGTGCGTGTGTGTGTGTGGAGGGGGCGGGGGGCGGCATCTGTATGAGACACAACAATTTATCCTCAGAGGCTTTATGCCAAAAAGAAGAGCAAAATTGTAAGGCTGAAATAATAACAAGATGCATGACGGTTAGCAGAATTCGTCCTTATGTGGAACACAGAGCGAGTAGGTTTACAAAAATAAAAATAAAGTTGGAGAATGTAAGATTAGATTGTTTTTTTAAGTATAAATGAGAATGCAAAATGTTAAAACCAGGAAGTAATATTTAAAAAGACATAATTTTTCGACATATTTCCAAAGACCTGGATTGCGGGTGAAAACAGGCAGAAAAGATGTTTAATAACTGATCAAAGAAACCTGCACAAACCCTGACTATAGATCAGCAAAAGAGTGAGCAAATTCTGAAAGAGGGTCAATGCTCAACCCTGATAATGACGATTCGTTTATAAAGAATCCACCGTTTCACTGCCCCATTTACATGGATGGATGGATTGATTGATAAAACTATTTTTCATGGACATCGGGAAAAATCTCCCTGATTTTTAAAGCTTCTGTTCTCAGTCTGAAGAATCCCAGTTCAAGTTTGATCAGCTCTGGGCTTTGGGTCCCATAAGGAGCAGTGGGTCTGCTCAACGTAGTAGTTGGAAAGATGGAAATGCTAAACCACACACAAACACTCACACACACTGATTTAGTAATGCGGTTAGAATAGAATATTGAGACGCCCCATTTTTCAACGTGTCTCACATGACACATGAAAACACATCAGATTAAAAAAAAAACTGTGGTGATGGTACCATGGTAACGCTTATCAATCATTTGTAAGGGCTTAGCTTTTACCACAATTCCTTCCACAACTTCATCATAACCATGACACATTATCCACAAACATTTCACACTGCTTGCACTCTTCACAGAAATACTTTAAAGAATACTGTCATTGCGTCAGTCAGTAAATAAACAACTTCAACACTTTCTTTCTTTTTGGTTTACAAACTCTGTTATCAAGCATGTGGGCCTGTGGCCAAATTCTCTCCTGCCTCATGAGATGACAGGAATTAGGGATGAGATTAACTTTTGACTTGAACAATTAATTACATAAGATGTAGATGCACAAAAACCAGTCTTTCCTTCTTCCTCCCCCCAAAAGCCAAAAAAACAAAAGTCCTCTCAAAGGAACAAATCATGTTAGGGGTTTCCTAACATGTATTTCTTAATTTTCAAAATACATAAGAGTCACCAAAATGATAGCGATCTTATAAATATATATATATATTCAACTCTTCTCCGTGACACGTATAACCAAATTCTTCAGGACTGACTGAGGAAACTCTAGCTGTGGTAATCACTTGAAGGAACAAAAACAATAGCAGAGACATTTTAATGCTTAAAAACAGTCTAAAAAAAGATAGTCTGGTGGATGGACAGAGGGACGCGGATTAATCTCTGCCCCTTGTCGGTGTAGGTGGCCCATAAACTCCGTGGTTAATAAAGCCTCTGCCTCGGACACCCTTAAGCTGCTACCGCGGCTCAGCGCTGACAAGCCGCATTCCCTGAAGACAAGCTTTCATTAACTTGTGTGTGTGTGTGTGTGTGTGTACATGGCAGACGGACAGAACAAGAGCCTCTGTGTGTATGCCTGTGCTGCCCTGCTCTTGTCAGCTGCAGCTGCTGTGCCTGCACAACAAAACGGAGAGCACAACATCCTACGGGAAGGACCGTTTTTATTCTTGTCGATTACGATTTCCACAGCTAAAATAACTTCAAATACTCAAAATAATGTTCTAAAGGTGTGTATTTTTTTTAAGTAATTGTGCATTATCCAGTTAAGGAAAGGAAAATGGCAGATGGGTACAGACAAATTCGAAGGAGGCTTTAGTTGAACTGCAGTTCATCTGCCTATAAAGTCAGGTTCGTTTGGGGTTGGCGTAGTTCTGGAGCAGTTCGAATGCTATATGGTAATAGCGCAAGGCATTCTGGGTAATTTCAATCAAAACAAATGCACCTGGCTAACACTAGCGGGGAAAAAATAGCTCATAGTCTTTTGCCAAAGACAAAAGAGAAATTCTACATCCGCTTAAATCTGATGCCGCTCTCTCTCTCTATTTAATTTTCTTAAGTTGTGTCTCCTTCAGAGGTTTTCATGTCGGTTTCTCCAGTAGTTCTTGGTGCAGCGCCCCCCCAGGGGGGGGGGTAAGCAGTTTTTTTTTTTTTTTTTTCAAAGGTTTTGGTTGGTTTGTTTGACACTTGAATCACATCAGCTGAAAAAGTAATAAAATGTCGCAAATTTGGTTCCTAATCAAGCCAAGTCTACCGGACTATAAGGTGTGAAAACACCCCAAATCTCCTGTTCCCAACTGGAAACTGAGACCCTTTAAAATTGATGTTAATGCTCTCCAGCTAGTCTGACTGGAGAGGAACTACTGCAAATCTGGTAGACATAACCCAAAAGACTTAAAGTAGCATTTTCAGTACAAGTGGTACATTGTAACACTCTGGGATCTGAATACAAATGCACAACACAATCAATTCCTCCCATTTCACAGTGATGTATTGCTTCGAGTTGGTCGATGTACAAAACACAATAGAATACGATTGGGGCTATAAGGTCACTATACTCTATAGAGCAGGGGTGCCCAGTCCTCGAGAGCTACATCCTGCAAGTTTTAGAAGTATCCTTACTCCAACAGACCGGGATCAGCTCTACAGAGGCCTGATAACGAGCCATTCATTTGATTCAGGTGTGTTGAAGCAGGGATGCATCTGAAAGTTGCAGGATGGTAGCTCTCGAGGACTGGACTTGGGCACCCCTGCTATAGAGTATAAACTAAACTAAACTCTAACAATGAGTTCGATTGTGCCCAAACCTACACCAGTCGATCCTAAATGTAGACTTTGTCACAGCTCAACACTACGACGCAACAAGCTCACATTGCGAGCGTGCAACCTCAAAACATCTCCATTTCTTGCTCACCTTGCGTGAAGTTATAGCGGGCTGAAAACCCGATGGCCTCCAGTTCGCCGTCGGCCACGAACTTGATGTAAAGGTACCGCCCGCTAGAGCGGACGTAGGCAGGACTCTCCTGGCCGCAGTAGCGGCCAATGATCGGAGAGAACCCGAAGGGCCCGTCGCGGATTTCAATGTGGTCAAACCGACACTCCCAGGACGGCTCGATGGAGTATTTATCGTCGAAGAACAGGTCGATGCACTGTCGAGGCGAGGCTGCAGCAGAAGGGACCATTTAAGAAGAGGGAGGGAAGATCTGCAGCAGGATGGGACGGTCGTTGTGTCTCACCTTCTATGATGTAGATGCATTCCCTCTCAGGTGGGTATTTCTCAGGGTAGTTTGGAGAGGTGAAGCACCCTCCACTGGGCTCCTTCACCCATGTTCCACACTGTCCAGCAGGGGTCACGCCTGAGTTGTTTTTCACTAAAAAAAAAAAAAGTTGTTTTTTTAATCGAATTGGGTTTTGTCGATTTTCCACATATGTGTTTACTTTTATTTTAGTTTTGATTTGTTTAAAAATTCTAATTTACAACAAAAAAGACAGATTGCTACAAAAAAGTAGGAGTGGCTGCTGTGGTATTCTCGTGGATTTCATCGAGAGTACATATCTATGGACTTTTTAAAAAGGTATTTAAGGTTATTCAAAGCAAAAAATGTAAAAGATAATCTAAGCGATTATTCCTACAAGGTAATAAAACTTAACTTTAATCAGAGAGCTCTTCATAGTCGTTGCAAGACTGACTGCTATCGGAGATTCATCCCGCCCACATCAATTATCACATTTCACAATGACTTATTCAACATATACTTGGATGATACGACATTTAATTTCCCTTTAGGATGAAGTATTTTTCATTTTGAACTGAACAGGATTAAAACCATAACCTTTTTAAACCCCTTTATTCTCTCTGATTTACAACACGAGCCTAAACTGGGGGGTATTTCACTGAATTATCTGAATTTTAAAAAGTAGAAAAACATTCTTTTTCAAAGAAGTATTTCTAACATAAGCACTAAACGAGAAATCATTTGTTTGAGTGACGTTAAAGGCATCAAACGTATTACATCAAACTGTAATAACTTGTGCTAAGTTATACCTTGAGCTTTTTTCGTGTTTGCTGTTGAACCACACAGCTCAGGTGGAATGAGGCTCGCTGCTACAGCTGGGGAGCCAGAAGAGAGAGAAAGAAAGAGAGAAATAAGAGAAGCAGGGGAAAACAGGAAGTGAGCGAGACAGTGCAGCAGTTGATGAGTCTTCGCAGATGGTTTGCACTTGATTTTTTTTTTTTTTCTGCCAGTGGTTATATGTTCTCATTCAGCGAACTCACCGATGGGCAGCAGAAGTTTTTGCGCCATGACAGATCCCCGAAGATGCGCAGATCTCTCACATGGCTCCATGAAACTGCTGCGCGGTGCGGGCGCGTCGCCTCTCATCGGTCTTTGCGCGATGCAACATACCGTTGCGCCTTTCAGCTTACCGTGCATAATATACGCCAAAGCAGCAGACACTTGTCCATCCATCCATCCATCCATCCACCCACCTACCCCTCCCTTTTTCTCCCGGCAGCTTTAAGGATTAACTTCTCTGACACAAACCTTCACTTTTCACCCTCCTTCTTCTGTACCACCACCTCTACAGGCCGTTTTATTGCGCTTCAAACATATATATTTTTAAAAAAGTGATTTATGTAGCATATCCGCGTTTTGTTGCAAATTTCGTCATGTTATGAATTTTGCAGTTGTTTATTCATTTGTTTCACGTTAGAAAATACGATTCTTACATCGTATTGACATCTAGCAATCAAATCGGACATTAGAACCCACATTTATATTTTCATACCGAATTATAAAGAAGTATTTCCAGAAAATTGTATTCATATTAAATAAGACAAATACAACATTTTATTTATTTATTTATTTATTATTATTATTATTATTATTATTATTATTATTATTATTAT